TATAAGAAGGAAACAATGCGACCAGTATACAAACAGCACGGATCGTACTGGAAGTTTGATACAGCACCAGAGAACTCGCACAGGAGAGAAACCATTCAAGTGCAATGTGTGTGGGAATGAATTTTCAGGTTCATCACATCTTAAAAGACACCAGAGAACACACACACAGGAGAGAAACCCTTCAAGTGCACTGTGTGCGGGAAGGCGTTTACACGGTCATCAGATCTTAAAAAACACCAGAGAATGCACACAGGAGAGAAACTCTTCAAGTGCACTGTGTGTGAGAAGGCATTTGCACAGTCATCACATCTTAAAAAACACCAGAGAACACACACAGAAGAGAAACCTTTCAAGTGCACTGTGTGTGACAAGGCATTTGTACAGTCATCAGTTCTTCAGAGCCACCAGAGAACACACACAGGAGCTAAACCTTTCAAGTGTACTGTGTGTGGGAGTGCATTTGCTCAGTCATCAAATCTTTAAAAACACCAGAGAACACACACAGAAGAGAAACCCTTCAAGTGCAGTGTGTGTGAGAAGGCATTTGCAAAGTCATCACATCTTAAAAAAACACCAGAAAACACAGAAGAGAAACCCTTCAAGTGCAGTGTGTGTGGGAAGGCACTTTCAAGTTTATTTTATTTAAAAATATACCAGACGACACACACAGGAGAGAAACCCTTCAAGTGCACTGTGTGTGAGAAGGCATTTGCACAGTCATCAAATTTTCAGAGCCACCAGAGAACACACACGGGAGCTAAACCCTTCAAGTGCACTCTGTGCGGGAAGGCGTTTGCACTGTCATCACGTCTTCAAAGACACCAGAGAGCACACAGGCATCAGAAGATCCCCAAGGAGCGGAGTCTGAAATCGGCTTGTGAAAGTCCAAGTGCTGCAATGAGCCTATCCCTGCTGAAAAAAGAACAAGAATTTAATTCCAGCTTGGACGCAATGAAATGTATCAAGGTGAATTTTGAAGAGGCGAGGGTGCAATGTGAAGAAGTGATGAAGAGTGAAGAAGTGATGGTAAAATGTGAAGATGAAGATTCAACTGCAAAATTGAACCTTCACATCGATGGAGGCAACGTGAAGCAGGAGGAGAATTCTTACTGTGAGGCAGAGCGAGGCAACAGTTTGTGGAAGTGGAGGTATGGGTGGACTTCTTAGACAATACAAAGTCAAATGGAGACCCAGTAGATGTGTAAGCTTGAGACAATGAAGCTCCAATAGATGCACCTTTGTCACAGGCCTTTAATTAAAATAACGTGAAGTTGAACACTCAATTCCTAGGTTCAACCTGCAGAGTAAGAGCGGCCAGTATTTGCGGACCTGTGGGTTGGGTAGACCTCTAACCAGGAGTGAGAGCCAATAAGCTCCCAAGCATTCACTATGTTTTATAATATTTACATTTATGTGGTGCTTAATTGCCCATGATAGAGGTTTTTTGGGTTAGATCGTGTTAATTTAAAAGTTTGGTGAAACCCGCCACTTCGCGATTTGTTCTCCAAACACCGGTGTGCTGTACTAGTGTAGTGTAATAACGCTGACTGTTGTCCAGCAACGGCAACTGCAGTGAAAAAACAGTACACACACCAGTGAGCATATACATGGGTGTGTCGGCAGAGCAGAGGAACTGGGGCAAGGGTCACGGAAGACCCCATCTGAAAGCCCCTGGAACCTGCTAGTGGGTTCAAGAAGGATGGCATGGCCTGGTCGGAGCCAGGCCGCGCTGGGTAGCATAAAAGCAGCTGAGAGTGGGAGCTCAGGGCTGTCGGTTTTGGGAGGGGGTTCGTCTCGTCATCGCTGTCATCTTCGCTGCCTTCATTAATGGCGTATTCGCTAGATATTGCGTGGCTGGATAGTTGTTGGCTGTCTCAGTCAGCGCCATCGGTGTTACATGGTCAGGGTTGTATTTATGCTAGGTTAGACGACTATGGAGTGCAATTGTGAACCTTGGAAGGTGTTGTAGAAACCTTGTCTCCCACTATGATGATACTACAACCGGTCTTAGAAGTGGGGTGAAGAAAGAACCCACCTATAGTGTCATCGGAGGATGGGAATGGTGAAACATTCATCCCTTCGGCAGCCCCGGGACCCCGCTTACAAAGCCCATTGGCGGAGAGAGAGCAGCTGCGGATCGGCGGGAGAGCGGCGGCGATTTGGCGAGAGAGGAGCCCGATCCTCTGGGGTCATGCGCCGAGCATGCGGCATGGCCAAGGAACACCGTGCTGAGGGGAGCGCGGAGGAGCGTGGGACGGCGCGGGAAGCGTGCCACAGCCAGCGGCGCGGAAAGGAGTCACGAGGGGACCCTGGCGGTGGTCCCCGTCGGTGCGAGAGAGTGGAGGAGCTTGGGCCGGTGACCGTATTTGTGGTGGGCGCCATTTTGCCCGTGGAGGGCTTGGCATGGCTGGCAGGCGCTATTTTACGGAGAGCGCGAATTGATGTGGTCGAGAAATTGGTCCAGAGCAGGCCGGCCATGTGGCCAGATGAAAAAAGTGTCATCTACGTACCTCTTCCATAAGGTCGGGCGTAGAGTGGCAGTCTGGATGGCGTCAGTCTCAAATTTCTCCATGAAGACGTTGGAAGAGGTACGTAGATGACACTTTTGTTATCTGGCCACATGGCCGGCCTGCTCTGGACCAATTTCTCGACCACATCAATTCCATACACCCAGCCATCAGATTCACCATGGAAGTCGAAAAGATGGCAAGCTACCCTTTTTGGATGTCCTAATTAAAAGGAGACCTGATGGTTCAATGAGCCACTCTGTCTACAGGAAAGCCACCCATACGGATGCTTACCTAAAACCGGATTCCCACCACCATCCATCCTAGAAGAATTCCCTCATCCAAGACTCTATATCATTGAGCCCAATGTATTTCCGACCAGGAACACATTGCCAGTGAACTCAAACACGTACGCCAGGCTCTTAAGGCTAATGGTTACTCCGACTACACAATCTGCAAAGCCATCACTCCAACCATCAAGAAGGATCCTGTTGAGCCTCTCAAGACCATCACCTTACCCTACATTGCTGGGGTCACAAAAAAGATCTCCAAAATCCTGATTAAACACAAGATCCAGGTCCGATTCAACACCGTACATAAAATCCGTGATCTGGTCCCGTCTGTAAAAGATGTGGTTACAGACATACAGTACCCTGGCGTCTACAAACTAAGTTGCCTCTGTGGTAGCAGTTACATTGGAGAAACCAAACGACATGTCTCAGACCGCAACCGTACACATAAAGCAGACTTGAAACACGGTAGGACAAACACCTCAGCCGTGGCAGATCACTGTTACAATTCAGTCGGCTCACATGATATTGACTTCTCCAAGACAGAGGTTCTCTGCAAGCCATCTGGCTACCATAAGAGATTCGTTCATGAGGCGATCCACATATACACAGAGAAAATTTCAACCGAGAAGATGGATTCCGGCTTAGCAATTATTTGAATGACGTAATAAACCATTTCGGATCTTAACTGATTGTGTTCACGTTTACGGTGACTTTCAGACCGCGTTCCACTCACCGGCATTGTATTCTCCGCAGGGAATGGATTCTTTGCTCCGCTGCAAGTTTCCTCCCACTACTCTTCCTCTTAGTATCTTTCACACGACGGTCAATGGTACAGTGTATAATAACAAATAGTATAACATTTATATGCTTAATACAATGTACAAAGTGATATATAGTATCGTAATTGTATTGTGAATATACAGCAGTGTGATATACATTAAGGTGGGTAGAATAATACATAGTGTAATATTACAATGTATAAGGTGGTTTATAGCAGTACATTATATAATTTAATGTTGGGTTTGTCTATGGCAGTATATAATACGGTGTAGACTCGTGTGATGTAAGAAAATAAAGTTTAGATGGAAGAATATTATATATTATAACTCAGCTTATTGTAGAGTATATTTAGTATACTGATGATAATATGTAGTTTATACTTTAGTTGTTTACGTGATGGTTTTAGTTACTGCAGCTACATACTATTAACACTCCTTCCCTTCATTAATGCTACCCCTATCCCCTCATGCTGCTAATCCTGCATAATGCACGGGCATAAATAGTACTATTCACATACCTGCATTTCCCATAGCACATACCTGCATTTCCCATAAATTGCTAAATTCCTCTTGATATGCATATTCTTTTTTCAAGGCTCCCCCTTTCTTCCCCCCTTCCAACCCAGCTTATATACATGCTCCAAGCGCGTGTGCTGTTTCATTCAGACACTGTCGCCTCGACAGACCTGGTTTTCACCTGAGGACGGCTACTTGCGTTGTGGCCGAAACGTGAGAATAATTTTATTATGTTTTATTTTTATTATTTTATTACTTCCCTTTACCGAAAGAACCAAGAAGATGAATCCCTGCAGTCACGAAAGCTTTAAATCGAAATTTAATGACCTATGTGTTTTAATGACACTGTTTTGCATCCACTGTTAAGCAGACGGTGCATATTTTGGTTAATGTTACTAGAGTAACCAGGGGTGCCTGTCGGATCTGTACCTTGAACCTCTGCAATAAATAGAGAATGTGCTACCACTTGGCTTCCCTCAATCTGAGTGTTGGCATGCAAGCGTGAATGTTTCTAACCGGCGCAGATGTTCCATTTAGAGGGGTCCACGTTTCACATGCCGAGAGAAGGGAGGGCATGACTGGCCGAGAAGAACCGAAGCTTCATGCTTAGTGACAGTCCAGGTAGCTTCCAAACAGCGTTGCGCAGCTGATGAAAAGATAATGCCGCCTGATTCGGACCACCCACATACTGTGTGCACACATGCAGTGTAGACGTATTGTGTACACACAATGTACACACAGAGCATACACACATAGCGTACACACACAGTCTGCACATAGAGTGTATACACAAACACTAACAAGAACAACGACCGCTATTTGCTACTAAGTGAAGGTGACGTCACCACGGCGCTTGTGCCAGACTATGTGCACGTTAAGGCCACGTGAAGTGTCGAAAGCCCGCCGGCAGGAGGTCACAGGGCAGACTCAGGTGCCATGGGCCGACTGAGATGACTGGCCGATGCACCACCTGTATCCCCTACTGTGCCAACAGTGTACAGACACAGTGGACACACTGTATACACACAGTTTGTGCACACACTCTACAGTGTGTACACAAAATAATGTTCACGTTGTTGTTGAGCTCACGCACCCAAGGGGTCTCTGTTCAAGAGGCAGCAATGGAAAAGGAATATAAATACTGTAAACTTAAACTCAAACCCTGCTTTCTCGCTCTGACGTCACCAGTCTGCATTGCCTCATCGGTGAGACGCCTGAAGGTGTACCTCGCTAGTGACGTCATGTCACCAAGGTATTCTTCCCCAACCCCCCTCCACCGTGTTTTAGAGCGTGATGTCACGTCTGGTTGGTCACTGCAGATTCCGTTCCAGTAAAAATCCTGATTTGACTTAAAGCTTTCGTGACTGCAGGAAGTCATATTCTTTGGGTCTTTCTGTAAAGCCACGTAGATAGAAAAAAATAATCAAAATAATATAACAATATCACGACGTTTCGATCGCAACACAAGCAATCGTCTTCAGGTGAAAAAAGAAGACGATTGCTTGTGTTGCGATCGAAACGTGATATTGTTATTATTGAGAATAGGTTTTACCTTTTTTTTCTGGCAACAAAACAGGTGTTAAGATGTTAAAACACCAACTGAAACCTTTTACAAGGAATCATGTCTGCATTAACCACAATGCTTGTGGTCAGAATGCAAAAAGAAACGTACTCTGATAATTGCATTATCTTTGGTTCCTTCGGTAAAGTCACGTAGGCGAAAGAGAAAGGTGTCTCTGAGCCTAGGCTCAAGAGAAAGCTGTCTCTGATGTGAACCAATCAGTTTCAAAGACAATGCATATGTAGTGGGTACAGAGGGAGAGCGAGGCTTCTTGGAGGCAACACGTTTTATAACATTTCAAAACTTCTCTTAAAAACCTTACATATACATACACAGATAGTAAGGTATTGTCAAAGCCTGGTGGTTATAATAATACTAGCGGTAAGTACCCGGCGTTGCTCGGGCGAAAAAGGCAGACACACACATGGACTTAGACACAGACATCGACCCACACACATAGAAACACATCGACTTAGACGCACACACACATGGTTAAACCCAGGATAGATCGTTAGCAGGCCAGCCTAAATGTTTGTAACCGGTGAAGATGTTCCATTAGGGGGGTGCGTGCTTCACAAGCGCAGAGAAGGGAGGGGAATGACCATGGCCGAGAAGACCTGGAGCTTCATGCGCAGCGAGAGAGCAGGTAGCTTCCACACAGCGTAACGCAGCCGATGAAAAGAGAATAGCGCTCGACTGATTTGGAGTGAGACCTCTGCTGTTAAACCGGAGTCGGTCATGAGCACACTGGCCAGGTATGGAAATCTCTCCGATCTCTCCACAACTGCCGCATCAGCAATTGTGAGTTGTGGGGGTGGATTGTCCGATGGTACAAAATACCCAGGCAGGTGCTTAGTTTTGTTTGGGCTGATGGTAAGGCCCCACCTCTTAGTGGCAAGCTCCAGGTTCAGCAGCAGTGAGCAGCAATCACCAGAGCATGGGCATACATATCATGGTTGAGCAATAGGGAGGCATCCCTTGAGCGCACACGGGCATCGATCAGCCTCCCATTGTATCTTATGGTAATTCCTCGGGTACAGCTATTGAAGGCTTCACGAACTACGTGGTCAAAAGATATGTTAAATAATGTGTAGCCAGAGGACATCCCTGTCACACCCCAAGGTGTAGAGGGAATGGCTCTGACTGACGGCCACGTAGTTTGAAGCGGGGCCGCTCACCATCATAAAGGTCTTTAAGGATCGTGAGCTAAATTTGAGGGACTCCGAAAGCATGAAGAACAACCCAGAGGCCAGGCCTACTGATGGTATCATAGGCCTTGAGCAGGTCAATAAAGCACATACATTCACTCACACGCACACGTGGACCTACAGACACGCAAAGAAATGGACTTGCACTGACTGACATGGAGCCATGCACACAAAGCGACTAACACAGACACCTATGGACTGACACACACACACATATGGACTCACACACGCATAGACATGCACTTTAGATACACACACATGGAGTTACACACACATATATCGACGTACACACATACAGCGATTCACAGTAATATTAACTAAAATATGCACCAGTGGATGTAAAACATACTATTGTGTTATTCAAAACACGTAGGTCATTGCATGTTAGTGTCATTGTCAAAATTTGGTTAAATCCAAATATCCAGAAATTACACAAACGGAGATTACACCAATAATCGCCCCCTACTGACAGACTCATGTCCACATGCAGCTGGTGCTGGGCCACCTTATGCCACACAGAGGCAGCTCCCACTTGGGGGTGCTCTTTGAGTGTTCGTGATGAGATATGATACAAAACTCCAAATTGCCGAGGCAATTAAGCAAGTTTAACACGTAGGCTTTCGCGACCAATATCATCCAATAGGTTTTTTGGCTTAGATCGCATAAATATTAATGCATTATCTCTAGTCATCTAGCCTAACCTAAACACAACCCTGACCGTGTAACACCGATGGCGTTGACCGAGACAGCCAACAACTATCCGGCCGCGCAATATCTAGCAAAGACGGCAGCGACGAAGGCAGTGAAGGTGACAGCGACGACGAGACGAGCCCACTCCCAGAACCGGCAGCGCTGAGCTCCCGCTCTCAGCTGCTTTTATGCTACCCAGCGTGGCCTGGCTCCACCCTGGTCACGCCCTTCTTCTCGAACTCACTAGCAGGTTCCAGGGGCTTCCAGATAGGGTCTTCCATGACCCTTGCCCCAGTTCTTCCGCCGTGCCGACACACTTGTGTATATGCTTACAGGTGTGTGTACTGTTTGTCCACTGCAGTTACCGTTGCTGGACAACAGTTGGCTGACATCCAGCATCTGCAACCGGTGGACAGGAAGAGCAACCCCCAACTCCGAGAAACACCACCAACACGAAAAAAAATTCACCACAAAAAAAAACCTTGGTTGCAACACTTCCCGCGACCATTCAATACAACTGCAGCATCTCCCGCAAACCGTAAACACATAGCACAACCTCAGCGCCCCCTGCGGACCGCCAACAAAAAGGACAACCCACGGTGCCCCCCACAAACTGACAATACGCAGCGCAACCATGACAGGGGTAAGAACCCCTTCAGGGACCACACAACCGCGACGCCCCCCCCCCCCCCCCGCGAACCGATAACGCAACCCAAGCATACACAACTCCCCCGAATCCCACCTTACAAGGGAGAGTCCACCTTTACCAGAACGTAACTCAAGTAAGCTGGTCCTTGACACTGGTCTCTCCTGCCATGGCAGGGCAAAGGGGGCTTCCCCGGTCGCCAATCCACGCGCGGGGACCATCTCCCGTGCGTCCCCAGGCCGCACACCACAGCCACCATGTCCTCCTCCCGCCACAACCAAGCCTCCACTTTGGGCCAATGCTGGCGGGCCTCGTGGCCCTGAATTTCCTGGGCCACCTTCAAGGACGTGATCCCCATGCCTTCGGAGAAGGGCAGGACGATCCCTGACACCCGCGCCAGAGCCAACAGCCTTTCCGCCGCCAAGGAGTCGAGCGCCGTCTCACCAATCTGGGGGTACGCCTTCCGCCCCAGCACGAGTAGCGCCTCCCACAAAGGGAAGGGGGTCTCGGCTTCCCCTTGCTTCCGCTGGAGAAATTTCGCACGGGCATCGCACGATAGGCCAGAAATTGCCCCTTGCAGTGCCATCGACTTTAGCGCTGTCCTGTGCTCTAAGCAAAATAGCACCCGCCGACCTTGCCAAGCCCTCCACGGGCAAATTGGCACCCACCACATGCGCAGTTTCCGGCCCAGGCTCCTCCACTCTCCCGCACCGATGAGGACCGCCGCCAGGGTCCCCTCGTGACTCCTTTCCGCGTCGCTGACCGTGGCGCGCCTCCTGCGCCATCCCACGCTCCCCTCAACACAGCGGTGCTCGGCCATGCCGCGTGCTCGGCACACGTGACCATGGAGGAACGGGGTCCTCCCTCGTCGATTAGCCGCCGCTCTCACGCCGATTTCTCTCTCCGCCAACAGGCTTCGTAACCAGGGTCCCGGGGCTGCAGGAGGGATTAATGTTTCGCCATTCCCATCCTCCGATGACACTATAGGTGGGTTATTTCTTCACCTCACTCCTAACACCAGTTGTAGTGTCATCGTAGAGGGAGACAAGGTTTATAAGGGGGCACCTTCTTTATTAACACCTTCACAGGTTCACCATCAAACTCTCCCTAGTCGTCTAACCTCGCGTAAACACAACCCTGACCATGTAACACCGATGGCGCTGACCGAGACAGCCAACAACTATCCGGCCGCGCAATATCTAGCAAAGACGGCAGCGACGAAGGCTGCGAAGATGATAGCGGTGACGAGCCAACTCCCGACACCGACAGCCCTGAGCTCCCACTCTCAGCTGCTTTTATGCTACCCAGCGCGGCCTGGCTCTGCCCTGGCCACACCTCCCTTCTCGAACCCACTAGCAGGTTCCAGGGGCTTCCGGATGGGGTCTTCCGTAACCCTTGTCCCAGTTCCTTTGCCCTGCCGACACACTCATGTATATGCTCACTGGCATGTGTACTATTTGTCCACCGCAGTTGCCGTTGCTGGACAACAGTCGGCGTTATTACACACTAGTACAGCACACCGGTGTTGGAGAACAAATCGCGCAGTGTCGGGTTTCACAAAACATTTATATTTACGCGATCTAACCCAAAAAAAACGCTAATATGGAGAATTAAGCACCATATGAATGCAAATATTATTATCATAACATAGTGAATGCTTGGGAGCTTATTGGCTCTCGCTTCTGTTTAGACATCTACCCAACCCATGGGTCCACATACTGGCCGCTCTTACTCTGCAGGTTGATCCTAGGAATTAAGTATTCAACTTCACTTAATTTTCATTAAAGGCCTGTGACAAAAGTGAATCTATTGGAGCTTCATTGTCTCAAGCTTACACATCTGTAGTGTACGACTCCAGAGACAATAAACTGTAGAGGCACCTTTTTATTTATTTATCATAACTCACAGTTTCACTTGCTAGCACATAGCAGAACACTGACCGCCTAGCAACCACGGCGCTGACTAACTAGATAGCTGGTTAACTATCTAGCAGTGGCGATGTCGAGCGATGACAAAGATGGCAGTGATGACGAAGACAGCAGCAACAAGAAGACGACCCTGACTCCCACGGACAGCCTCGAGCTCCCTCTCTCGCCCCCTTTTATCCTTCCAGGATCCACCCTGGCCACGCCCCCCTTCAGCTGGTTCTGTGAGCCACAAGATGGATCATTTCCCTTTGGGTGGGTACACCCAAAATTGCTACCCCTGGTCACCACTCGGCGCTGCTACACTCCACATCTACCGGGTCTCATTTTGACTTTGTATTATCTAAGAAGTCCACCCACACCTCCACTTTCACAAACTGCTGGGAGTTGCCTCGCTCTGCCTCACAGTCAGAATTCTCCTCCTGCTTCACGTTGCCTCCATCGATGTGAACGTCTAATTTTGGAGTTGAATATTCATCTTCACATTTCACCTTCACTTCTTCGCTCTTCACTGTCACTTCACATTTCACCTTCGCCTCTTCATATTTCACCTGGATACCTTTTAAAGTGTCCAAGCTGAGATTTTCTTGTGGTTCTTTTTTCATGAAGGATGGGCACATTGCAGCACTTTGACTTTCACAAGCTGATTTCAGACTCGGCTTCTTGGGGATCTTCTGATGCCTGCCTGTTCTCTGGTGTCTTTGAAGTTGTGATGACAGTACAAACGCCTTCCCGCACAAAGTGCACTTGAAGGGTTTAGCTCCTGTGTGTGTTTTCTGGTGATATTTAAAAGCAGATAAACCTGAAAATGCCTTCTCACACACACTGCACTTGAAGGGTTTCTCTCCTGTGTGTGTTCTCTGGTGGCTCTGAAGAACTGATAACTGTGCAAATGCCTTCTCACACACAGTGCACTTGAAGGGTTTCTCTCCTGTGTGTGTTCTTTGGTGTGTTTTAAGAGCAAATGCTTTTGAAAATGCCTTCCCACAGACACTGCACTTGAAAGTTTTCTCTCTCGTGTGTGTTCTCTTGTGTGTTTTAAGATTTGATGACACTGCAAACAGCATCCCGCACAGAGTGCACCTGAAGGATTTCTCTCCTGTGTGTGTTCTCTGGTGTTGTTTAAGACTAGATGAAGTTGAAAATGCCTTCCCACACACACTACACTTGAAGGGTTTCTCTCCTGTATGTGTTCTCTGGTGGATCTGAAGACCTGATGACCATGCAAATGCCTTTTCACAGAAAGTGCACTTGAAAGGTTTCTCTCCTGTGTGTGTTCTCTGGTGTCTTTGAAGATGTGATGACACTGCAAACGGCTTCCCGCACAAAGTGCACCTGAAAGGTTTCTCTCCTGTGTGTGTTCTCTGGTGTCTCTGAAGAACTGATGACTTTGCAAATGCCTTCTCACACACGGTGCACTTGAAGGGTTTCTCTCCTGTTTGAGTTCTCTGGTCCTGTGTCAAATTTCCAGTACGATCCGTGCTGTTTGCATACTGGTCGCATTGTTCTCTTTTTGTACCGAGCTGCGCTGAGTGCCTTTGCTCCATCAGACCAATTCTGCAGAGGAAGCGTCAAAAGAAGCTTCAGCTGCAGACAGAAAAAAATAGATACCATCTACATCAGTATCGAGGCACAGATGAATTAATATATACAGTCACACATGACTTACATGTCTATACTTATTCATATAATCAAGATATTCCCCAATTCATCACACGGGCTGTTAAGGCACACAATGAGGGCAAATGGTTATAAATATGCCTGGAAGCCCTAGTTTCTGCTAAATAAAAGTTAACCCAAAACACCAACCAAACTATTTTGGCTGCCTGGCTACAAAAGGAATATTTATAAAATCAGACATTCAGCTAACATAGCAAAGGCTGTTAAAAATAATACTATTTGTATTATGCAGAAATGCATAAATGAATGTTCAATCGCAACTTAGAGGTGTGAAGCCAGGCTCAGATTTGCTTGAATGCTCGGATGAACAAACCTAACATCAACTGCACATATGCCGTGTTAATTTCCTGACTGTTTCTATTCTTACAAAAAGTTCTAGGAAAACTAAAAAATAAACTATTGTTTTTATTTAACCTCCATGTTCAATAGTTAATATACTTTACAGCAAATACAAACTTGACACTGTCACATACTGGCATGGTAGAAAGGTGGTGGTGTGTCCAGAACCATGCCAGGCCACTTTCATCTGCTCAGTATTGATGCTTTTCTCACTTCACTATGTAATCAATTTAAGATCAATCAACATAGCAGAGGCCCAGAAGCAGTTCAGTTTTCACTTATCAATCATGTTTGCTGTCGGTGATAATCAAACTAATTGTTGAGTTCATAATGCAGTGAAATAACTGCACCACAACTCCCCACAAAAAAACATCTTAAATGAACATACATTTCACATGGATCATGAACATCTATATATATAAAAAAGGGAAATTTGTGAATATGTGTCTGTTTGAAATGTTTAGTAAACTTCCCGACATGCAACAAACTTTATTTTATTTTTTATTTTAAGTTTCATTCATGAGGTAATGATCGAAGTTTTATTTTCATTTGTATATGTTATGTTTTTTAAGTTGAGAAGTTTTTAAATATATTTTTCCCCTGGGCAACGCTGGGTACTTCCCGCTAGTATCATATAAACAAGACATTCACCATTCATGACGAATTGGAAGTAACCTTATCACAGTGCTAATGCCATGATAGGTGCAATTTGAGGCCATCTAAGTGTGGATTCCTTGTCAGTAGGTAATTGGAATCATCCAGATGTCAAGGGATGACTGACAGATGAACCAGCTGTGCCCCCCACTGTCTTGCTGGGTGTTAGGAACCCAGCATTCCACCCAATAATGTGGGCGTCGCTCTTACGACCTCATCGTTGTTGCAGAGCAAATATCTATTAACTGCCCTGCAGCATATCTCATGGGCCTCCTCCACAGAGGCCGACCTTCACTCCTGGCACCAGTCATCAGCAGGTCCAATCACCTCCACATCCTCCAATCTCTTCTCTTATCAATGCCATGCCTGTTCAGCCCCTAATATCTGAACAAACAAAAGCTGCTTGAGCATGCAGTGTCTGGGAATGTGGGATTCATGACCGAACCAATGCAGCCTCGCCTGCCAAAGAGACTCAAGATTATACTCTATTTCGATTTAAAGCTTTCGTGACTGCAGGGATTCATCTTCTTGGTTCTTTCGGTAAAGTCACAATATTATGTTTTATTTTTATTATTTTATTACTTCCCTTCTACGTGACTTTACCGAAAGAACCAAGAAGATTATACTCTATATTGATATCTTAAGGATCTGTAAGCTTCTAATACAATATAGTCTGGTTGAATAGAAGATAAATCATAGGCAGGCAGGCCTTCATTGTATAAACCAGCACAAATCATTTAAATATGTACATATTTTGCATCCACAGAGTAATATCTGTGGCCAAAGAAGAATGACAGCTTTGTTCGTTAGTATCTAAAAACGCTTGTCCTGGTGAGGGTCGCGGTGGCAGCATGCTGAGTAGCGCGGTCCAGGTCTCCCTTTCCCTGGCGACAGACTCTAGCTCATCCTGGAGAATTCCCAAGCATTCCCAGGCCAGCCGAGCGACATAGTCTTGGGCCAGCCCCGGGGTCGTCTCTGGTAGAGTTCCAGGGGGAGGCTATTGGGGGCATCCTTACATATATTCTATATTGATATCGCCCCTAGAGCCAGGCCCTGGGGTTGTGTTCGCCAACAAGCGCCTCGTGGCTGCGTGACCCACGTAACTCAGTCGGGCCAGCTCAAAATGGCTAAGTGGTGCCATCCTGTGCGTCGAACATCCGCAGGATTAAGGGTGAGGGGCGGGAGCGATGCCAGTATGGCAGGGAGAGGGATGGTCTCAGACGGACTTGACCTTGGCGATGGACACTCAAAGCTTTGTATGGAGCAAACGTCCAGGCACCTTCCACAGTGTTACACGGTCTAATAAAAGAATGCTGCTCGACTAAATTTAAATGAGACATTGGCTTCCAAACCAGAGCTGGATGTGAACACATTAACCAGGTATGGGAGCTCTTCCAACATTTGTAGAACTGCCTGATTATTCATGGAGAGTTGGGCAGGTGGAGTGTTATATGACATGACATTCCCAGGCAGGTGATTTATTTTTGTGGAACATTTGCAAGGCCTCATTTCATGATGGAATTATCAAGGCACAGAACAACATCCCCAAATGCAATCTCATTGAGTAGCCATTGCCAAACCATCAGCAGATGTAACATGGTTGACCAGCAGGGAGCAATCCTTTAACTTTAACCAAGCATCGATTAGCGTATCATTGTAATTGTAACGAATGCACTGTTTTTTATATGACCATTGGGAGCTTCTAAAACTACATAGTTATTGAAAATGTAATGTAATGCATGGGGCCAACATAGATGCTATACAACAGCTACGACTAAATACATCAAATCTACATCACCTGGTAAGGGAAAAAAAGCATGCAAATAGACGCACTAGTGTTAAAATAATTATATATGTACACACACCACCACACACTATGAATACCCACATCAAACACTACAAACAATTACTTCGTTGTTTTGCGGCTATGTCTTCACATTCCTACAACGATTACACATTCAACTATCACTTCCTCAACAATCACTATATAGCATTCACTCACACACTCACTATTTACTTTTTTATGCTTATTAACTTTGACCTCCACCTATGTTCCTCGCGGGAAACGTGCACTTCTCTTCACCAAAGTCGATTACAATAATTGATGCCATTCGTACAAGTTTTACAATGACTGCACCGAGAGCTAATGAAACTCTTTAACACAAAGTTAGACAGCATGCTGCCTGTGCTGCACCTACAGCTAATGAATATCCTGAACACTGAGAAGCAAGAGCATGTTGCCAGGGCTGTGATAGCTGCACCTATTGACGACACTCGTATTCTATGGGGACCTCATTTGCCAGTAAAAATATGATAATTGGTTCTTTACCCTTCTACCTGGCAACAAAACTGACACCTTTTTACAAGGAGTCATGTTTGCATAGACCGCAATACCTGCAGTCATAAATACAAACAAAAGACATAACTCTGATAATGTGCACTGTCCTTGAAGTTGATTGGTCCACACCCGAGACAGCTTTCCTTCGAGCCTAGTCTCACATGGGTTGGACCAGAAGACGCCAAAAGGCGCCTTTTGGCGTCTTCTGGTCCAACCCATGTGAGACTAGGCTCGAAGGAAAGCTGTCTCGGGTGTGGACCAATCAACTTCAAGGACAGTGCACATTATCAGAGTTATGTCTTTTGTTTGTATTTATGACTGCAGGTATTGCGGTCTATGCAAACATGACTCCTTGTAAAAAGGTGTCAGTTTTGTTGCCAGGTAGAAGGGTAAAGAACCAATTATGACACTCGTATTATTCTGCCTCGGGCGGGGGGATGGTGGGGGGGGTAGCGGCCCAGCGCACAGCCTGGCAACGTCTCACCTCCTCCGGCTTGCCAATCTAGGCGAGGCCGCAGGCTCTGCACGGGACGACGCGTCACCACGCCAATGTAAAGTACAATTTTCTTGCATCTTTCGCTAAGAACTGAGGTTTATTGTTTACTATTATTAAACAAATAACTTTACAAATATTACGATGCTAATGTTTGTGTGCAGAAACTACATGTGTGTCCCTAAAGTCGATGTCTGTGTGTGTGAGCCCATATGTATTTGTGTGCATGTAAGTCGATGGGTTTCAATGTGTGTGGCTCCATGTCTGTGTGCGAGTCCATGTGTGTGTCTGTCTTTTTCAAACGGACAACGCCCCATGTGTGTGTGTGTATGTACAAGTGTTTGTGTGTGTGTGTCAGTCCATTTGTGTGCATATCAGTCGCTGAGTGTGCGTTAGTCCACTTGTGTGTGTAAGTCCATAGTGTGTGTTTCACTCGATGTGTGTGTGTCTAAGTGAATGCGTGTGTGTGTGAGTCGATATGTGTTTATGGCTCCATCTGAGTGTGTAAGTCAATGTGCGTTTGTGTGTCTATGTGTGTCAGTCGATGTGTGTGTGTTAATCTACATGTGTGTATCTAAAGTAGATGTCTGTGTGTCACAGTACATATGTCTATGTGTGTGTAGGGCAATGTGTGTGTCAGTCTATGTATGTGTGTGTAAGTCCATGTGTGTGTGTCTTAGTCGATATGTGTCTATGTAAGTACATGTGTGTTTACGTCAATGTGTGTGCGAGTCCACGCATGTCTGTGTGTGAGTCAACGTATGTCTGTGTGTGAGTCGATGTGTGTGTGTGTGAGTCGTTGTATGTGTGTCAGTCTATGTCTGTGTGTGTCAGTCCATGGGCGTCTGTGTTGGTCGCTTTGTGTGCATGGCTCCATGTCAGTCAGTGTAAGTCGATTTCTTTGCGTGTCTGTAGGTCCGTGTGTGTGTGAGTGAATGTATGTGCTTTATTGACCTGCTCAAGGCCTATGATACCATCAGTAGGCCTGGCCTCTGGGTTGTTTTTCATGCTTTCGGAGTCCCTCAAACTCTGCTCACGATCCTTAAGGACCTTCATGATGGTGAGCGGCCCCGCGTCAAACTACGTGGCCGTCAGTCAGAGCCATTCCCTCTACACCTTGGGGTGTGACAGGGATGTCCTCTGGCTCCACATTATTTAACATATCTTTTGACCACGTAGTTCGTGAAGCCTTCAATGGCTGTACCCGATCAATTACCATATGGTGCAGATACAATGGGGGCTGAGCGATGCCCGGGTGCGGTCAACGGATGCCTCCCTATTGCTCAACCATCTTATGTATACCGATGCTCTGGTGATTGCTGCTCACTGCTGCTGAACCTGCAGCTTGCCACTAAGAGGTGGGGCCTTACCATCAGCCCCACCAAAACTAACCACCTGCCTGGGTATTTTGTACCATCGAACAATTCACCCCCACAGCTCACAATTCGTGATGCGCCAGTTGTGGAGAGATTGCCGAGATTCCCATACCTGCCCAGTGTGCTCATGACCGGCTCCGGTTTAACAGCAGAGGTCTCACTCCAAATCAGTCGAGCGCCATTATCTTTTCATCGGCTACATTATGCTGTGTGGAAGCTACCTGGTCTGTCGCTCCGCACGAAGCTTCAGCTCTTCTCGGCCATGGTAATTTTTTCCCTTCTATACGCTTGCGAAACGTGCATCCCCCTAATGGAACATCTTCGCCGGTTAGAAATATTTAGGCTGGCCTGCTAACGATCCATCCTGGGTTTAACCATGTGTGTGTGCGTCTAAGTCGATGTGTTTCTATGTGTGTGGGTCAATGTCTGTGTGTAAGTCCATGTGTGTGTCTGCCTTTTTCCCCGAGCAACACCGGGTACTTACCGCTAGTAGAAGATATAACTCACGCTTCAAAATTACATGTTTTGGCACCAACTAACTCATCCTGACATCTGGCTACATGTCCACATTTAAAGTGCAAGGCCAGTTACATAATCGCATTGGCAGTCTGCTGCCACTACCTAATGACCTACCTACATTACCACAGATCTACTTGCATGTCTAAAAATACTAGACAGGCTCACCAGCATAGCAAAAATATCAACACCAAGATGCAAGTCCTATTGCTATGGAAAGACATGCTCCATAAGCAAAACTCTTTATGTTCACAGTTTCAAGTGTGCCACGGAGAAGATGACTTCCGAGTACAATGTTGTCATTCATGCTGACTAAACTCCACATGGTCAACATGAGTGCCACTTAAATGCACTTACAACATCTGAAGTTGCTGTCATTCTGACTGCTGAACAACATTTCACTCAAGGCATCGTCTTGCAACTGAGGAACAATACCCTACACGGAAATGGAATACCGATCCTATGATGCTCTTCAATGTCTACGGATTTGCTGGCAAGGTGATGATGGCTACAATTTCCTACTTTGCCAAACTGACCCAGCAACAGGCTTGCAAACACAAAAGAAGATTTCTGCCATGGACTTCTTTGCCTTCAGGATCATGGTGCGAAAACGGCAGCTTCAATCTATTGAATTGCAAAGAGCTCTTCCACCAATTTGCTGTCATGTATGCCAAACTTGAAGCTTCAGTCGATTAAACCAGGGGTGGGGAACCTTTTTTCTGCCAAGGGCTATTTGGATACTTATAACATCATTCGCAGGCCATAAAATTATCAAATTAAAAATTAGCCTGTTATATTTGGTCAAACATTTAATTAACTCACCCCTAATGTGATGGCTGGAACTGCTTCTCTTTGGCGAGGCGTGTGATGTTAGTTGGTATTGATGATGTTGCTACTCGCAACTGCTTTTCCAGGTTTGCTCCTAGATTTATTTAATTTCGAGTCCCACCTGCGATTGCCTTGGCAGGGCCAGATTAAATGATTTTGCAGGCCTAATAAGGCCCACGGGCCGGACGTTCCCACCCCTGGATTAAACCCAACATATGCCAAAACATCCAACATTGTCTATCATGAAGCTCTCCAAGGGCAACAAATTTAAAAGCTGTCCTCACTATGAACAAACAAGCCCTGTGATTGTATATCACAACCAAAAAACCGTAACAATATACTGTACACACATTTACGGACTTCATTGGCAGAATTCAATAATTCTAATAAAGCCAGTACCAAATGTTTGATTACCGAGACTTGTGCGAAGCCGGGTAACTGAGTTATTACTGAATAAATACTATACTTCCGATGTTTGTGCATGAGTGGGGAGTGGAAGTGCAATGGTTAGCGTGCTGTGCTATAAACCCAGCGACCTGATTTATATTCCCACAGAGCCAAGCCACAACATTTGGATGTCGCCTGATGATGCTGGTTGTAATTACTGGCGAACGTCGTACTCAGATTGTAAATGTTGTGGCTTGGCTCTCCAACGCACAACCGATGTGCTGTACTAGTGACGAATTGGCCGCGTTCCGTTCATGTGACAACCCTTATTATGTGTACACTCTGGTTCCCTTACTAGTTGGCTGTGTCGGGTGGTGGCGGGTTTAACGACACCTTTATATATTTACGAGATCTAACCCAAACAAACCTGCATTATGGATGTATAGTTGGAGTTTTCGTGTTTCTCTCTCCCCGTGGTCGCGTGATTTTCCTCCGGATCCTGCGGTTTTGATTACATGCTTTTTATTAACTTACTGTCTGTTGTTGTTGTATCCTCAAATCTTGTAACTCAATATTAACCAAACTTCCCAATGTGGTATCGACTGCAAACTTGGTATACTTATGTCATACTGATGACAATACTATATTCTATCATAATTTATATGTTATGTATCGGCTTGGGTCTAATTGTCCACGCTCAACTAACGTTGGCTGTAAATGACCACGGCCCCTTACGTTATGGCAAGCTTCAGGGCCATTTCCTAAAGTCGTGGAGTCCTGCCATTACGAGTACATTTCATGAAAGCGTGTTTAAAAAAAGTTTTTTTAAATATTACTTATTCCCTCCACATTTAGAGTCAACATCACCATGCGTTTAGAGTATTTTACCGATATACAATTCCACACGTTAATAAGCTTGACCTGGTGAGATAAAAAAAACTGTAGAAATATTTAAAAGAAATAAAGTTTCAAAGTCGTGAGCCAGATGAAGACAAATTAAACTTAATCAGAGAATTAAAGCAAATACAATCAGGTGAGGGCAGGAGGCAAGTCCCTGCATGGCAAGGCCCCGCGTTGTAATGTTCCAACCTGGACATCGATTCCATACTCGCTGCTACTCAATTGATATCCCTACGAGAGGAGCGAGGCTCTACCTGGGTAAACAACAACAACAACAACCATAACAACAACCACGATGTGAACTTCTCACCTCGGATCTCAGTGAGAGCGCGCGCAGTGCAGCAGCTTCCTGGTGTCTCGTGACGTCACGCGGCAGCAGGAGGTGACATGACGTCACTTGCGGGGTTCAACACAATCCCCTCCCCCAACGAGCGGCGGTGTAACTGAATAAATTATGTTAATGAGCCGCCGGTAACTGTGCGTAGCTTTGCCCAAATAAGGATAGAAAAAATAAATTAACAACATCACGACGTTTCGATCGAAACACAAGCAATCGTCTTATTTTTTCACCTGAGGACGATTGCTTGTGTTGCGATCGAAACGTAATGTTATTTTTTTTTATATCTATGTGGCTTTACAGAAAGACCCAAAGGATATTAATTACTGCAGTCACGAAAGCATTGCTTTTATGGCTTTATTTTGGTGATTTTTGAAAAATGTTTCGGTTTCGCCATGTTTGTTGTAGGCCAGAGTTAGACTGATGGCCTTAATCTAAGTTGTCTTGTGGTTGTTGTTGTTTAACTTGCATCCCACTGGGATTTTTGCACACAGTGTTGGTGTACGGTGCTTTTTCTGCAATATTTTGCTGTCTTTTCTTGGATTTTCTGTTTGCACATAGTCACTTTAAGATGTTTTCTTGTTCATGTTTTTGTTTTTTTGTTTGTTGCAGTTGCACCCGATTCAAGAGCCGAATGGCTCACAGGGCTATACCTAATCAATTAAACTTGAAATTAGGATTTTTACTGGAACGGAAATCGGCAGTGACCAACCAGACGTGACGTCACGCTCAAAAGTGCGGTGGAGGGGGGGGTTGGGAGTGAATACTTTGGTGACATGACGTCACTAGCAAGGTCCATTCCCCCAGGCGTCTCACGCCGATGAGGTAATGCGAAGTTGCGACGTCAGAGAGCGGGGTTAGAGTTTTCGTTCATTTAGATTAATTTTCCATTGCTCCCTCTCTTGAACAGAGACCCCTTGGGTGCGTGAGCTCAACAACAACGTGAACACTATTGTGTGTGTACACATGGTGAGTGTGTGTGTACACTGTGTGCGTGTACACTGTGCGTGTGTGTAATCTGTCTTTGCACAGTAGGGGGCACAGGTGGTGCATCAGCCAGTCATCTCAGTCAGTCGACCCGTGTCACCTGCTGGGTCTGCCCCGTGACCTCCTGCCGGCGGGCGTTGGACACTTCACGTGGTCTTAACGTGCACATAGCCTGGCACAAGTGCCGTGGTGACATCACCGCCACTTAGTGGCGAATGGCGGTTGTTGTTCTTGTTACTGTGTGTTTATATACTGTGTATGTTCAGACTGTGTGGGTGCACTGTGTGTGTGTACTGTGTGTAGATTGTGTGTACACAATACATGTCTACACTGCGTATGTGTGGACACTCTGGGTGGTTCGAATCAGTCGGGCGGCATTATCTTTTCATCAGCTACGCAATGCTGTGTGGAAGCTACCTGGTCTGTCGCTCCGCACGGAGCTTCGGGTCTTCTAGGCGCCGGTTAGAAACATTCAGGCTGGCAGGCCAACACTCAGATTGAGGGAAGCCAAGTGGTTTCAGATTCTCTATTGCAGAGGTTCAAGGTTCAAATACGACAGGCACCCCTGGCTATTCCAGTAACATTAACAAAAAATATGCACCTGTGAGGGTCGCTGGCCCCCGAGATCCCTCCCTCTGTACCGCTAACGGTCGGGTTAACCTCATTACTCGCCCCCTCGCTACTAGGCGAACCACTGTTGGGTTCTTCACCCATGGGGTGAGAGCCGTCGCTCGAGGATTCCCCTCCCCCGCGGGTCCGCGTAATAGGCATGGTTAATTCCGTACGCGCACACCCACACACAGCTCTGCGCGGCACTCACTCAACACAGACCACTCACGTTAGGATCGCGCACCTGTATTATACACGTAGTGAACGTGCGCGCACACACGCATACAGCTCCACACGCGATACCCACTCTTGTGCCGCTCTGCGCAGCGCTCGCCGCCTGCTGGCCGCTCACGTTATGATCGCGCACCTGGGGTACGCCGATTACGCACGCCGCGAGCTTACGCATACACAGTACCACACGCGTTCACACTTATAATACGAGATCACACGAGGCCACGATCAGATGTTAATGATTTATTGTCTGCTACCCGGGACTGGTTGTTGAGTCAGTATGAATTGACGAGGCTGCCTACTCTACTATCCCGAGACCTATTCCCTATTTATCGTTCACGAAATACTTTTACCTCCTTACTCACGGTTTGAGGCACTCGACGTTCCATGGATTTTCCTCGCTGCTTGCCTCGACACGTCGCACGGATGTCCGGAGGGCAGAGCTGGGGGCCGTCTTGTACGCTGGCTTCTCGGAGTAAGAGAGAGCTCTACCTCGCTACGCTCCCTTTTATCCCAATTCCCGGACTCAGGCCCCTACCCCCTTCCCACGTACCGTGGGCCTTCGATATGCTAATCGGATGTTCCGCAAGTTAATTCCTTTCTCACGCATGCCTTTGTTATTGCAGATTATGCGGCGGCGTCCATTACAAAGGTGCGCCGTGGGAATTTGTGCACGGCTGCCCGCGTGACCCTGCTCTCCCGATTATTTATACTAACAGCCTTATCCTTTAACTCCCCTAACAATGGTGCCTGCGTGCCCGAGCGTAATTATGCCGTCCCTCCGCTGCCTGTGCGGGGGTGTCTGATTATGCAGTTCAGATGCGCTGCGTGTTTTCTAATGATGCTCCTCCATCACAATGCTTATTCCCTCTGCCTGCCCCGTCGATACTGGCGTGTGTGGGGTGTGTGGGATGCGTTTCACCCGCGGTGGCCGAGTGGCCCCTCGCTGCGACCTTGCAATCTTAAGGCCGGTCGCAGCGCCGCGGTGCAAAGTAGCGTCGGGGGAGGTCGTCCAATTCCCTAGTCGCCGGAAACCGTGAAAGTTTAATCCCGATAAGGGCTTCTCGGATAAAAACCGGTCGGCCAGGTGACCTCCCCTCGGAGCTCTATGGGGGGGGGGGGAAATGCGTGCGGGTGTGTTCATGTGAGGTGAGGTGAGGGGGACGCGGGGTCGGCTCCGTCGCTTGGTAGTGGCGAGGTCGTAGCTGGGGCGCCTGCTGAACGGCTTCGTGGCGGCGGCATCACATAGCCCCCCGAGGTGCTGGTCCCCGTCTCGGGTTGACTGGAGCACCTTGCTTGAGCCGCGCCCACGAGGAAACGCTGCGGGGTCCGGGGGGTCCGTCCGGACCTCGTGGCTGGTCTCGGGGCGGGTGGCGTCGTCCTCTGCAGCTCCTGCGGCGGCCTCCTCCTCCACTCCAGCGGCTCTCCCTGTCCCTCGGTACCTGCGGGCTGGGGTACAAACTCAGAAGCGGATGGGTTTAGGGGCCGTCGTCCGCGCCGTCCCCTGGCGGGGTCGGGGCGCCTCGGGACTGGGGGTCCGGCGGGGCCCATGTAGTGCGCGAGGCCCTCGAGCCCGGGTGGGGTGGGGGTCCCGTGGGTCCGCGGTACTCTGGCGGCGGGGATCTCCTCCGCCGGAGCTGCTTTCCATGATTTTAAACGGCGGACGTTGACCACCGTTTCGCGTCCTCTCTCTCCACCTTGGATCAATACCGTCCAGGGGGAGATTTGCCGCACCACGGTCCACGGTCCCCGCCAGTAGGTCGTCAGCTTCCCCACCTGTCCGGTCCCGACGCGAGGGGTGTGTAGCCATACCTTTTCGCCTGTCGAGAAGAGGGGGGGCTCCATGCGGGGGCGGGTGCTCTGCTGCTGTCGCCGATGCGCAGCCTCCCCGTGCGGGTAGGCCCGGCCCCGGACCCCTCGTAGGGTCTCCATCAGGTGCTCGACGGGGCGGCTCCCTTCCTCCGTTTGGGGTGGGGGAACGCCGAACAGCAGATCTGCGGGTAAACGAGACTCACGACCAAACATCATTAGGAACGGGGTTTGTCCCGTCGATGTGTGCACGGTGGTGGCGTAAGCAAAAAGGGCGTAGGGGAGGTATTCGTCCCAATCCCGTTGATTTGCGGCCGCCATACGTTTGAGTTTCCCCGCTAGGGTCTGATTCATGCGTTCTACCATACCGTTCGCTTGGGGGTGGTACGCTGTGGTTCGGTCTTTCTGGATTCCGAATTCTCGGCACAGTGCCTGGAACAGCTCGGCCTCGAACTCACTACCCTGGTCGGTGAGGACTCGTTCTGGGATCCCGTGCTTCAGTACGTAATGTTCCACAAATGCCCGGGCCACCATCAAGGCCGTTTTATCAGGGATGGCCACTGCTACGGGGTAGCGGGTGAAATACTCTACTGCGACTAGGATATACCGGTTGCCTCGATGGGATCGCGGGAATGGCCCCTGTAGATCGATCCCGACCAGCTGATTCGTGCGGCTGACGCGGAACGGCCTTAGGGGTACCTGGTATCGTGCCGGTTTTGGCCCGCACTGCTGACAGGCGCGGCAGCCCTGTACCCAGGCCGCCACGTCTTGTGCCAATTTGGGCCAGAGATACTGGCGACGCAGGGTCTCTCGCGTGCATCGTTCCCCATCGTGGCCCCCGAGTGGGTGGTCATGCACCAGCCGTAGCAGCTGGGGTCGCACCTGGGCAGGAACACAGATGCACCCCGGCTGGCCGGCCTCGGTTAACTCCCGTACCACTCCATTCTGCACACACAACCGGGCAAACAAACCGCTCCAGGGTCCTGGTAGGGCACTCTTTTCCTCCCGCAGTGCCGCCTCCACTGCCGCCAGATCCGGATCTCGCTGCTGGGTCTGTCTCAGCTGCTCGTCGTTTAGGCCCGGGAAGGCGCAGCCGACGTCCTCCTGGATCCGTCCGATCGGGTCCCGAGCCGCGGGTCCCGCGCTTACCGGGCGGTCGACGGGATCCTCGGTGCCACCTGTGAGGATCTCTGTGGCGCACACTGCACTCTCTCTCGCTGGGGGGGGGGGGGGGGTCAGTGGCCGCGGCCTCTCGGGGGTCCGTTGCCTGCCGGCAGCGTCCCCCCGTGAAACACGGGTAGGCCTCCTCCGCCCTTGTCTCGGCGTACACCGTGGGTCGCCTCGACAAGGCGTCCGCGTTTGCATGCGTCCGGCCAGCCCGATACTCGATTTGCAGGTTGTACTCCTGCAACTGCGCCAACCACCGGGCCATCTGCCCCCGCGGCTCCTTGAATGTAAGAAGGAACTGCAGAGCATAATGGTCAGTGCGTACGCGACATCTCCTGCCGTACAAATACGGCCGGAACTGTTTGCACGCGAAAATCACGGCGTACAACTCTTGGCGGGTCACGCAATAGTTTAGCTCGGCCCCACTCAAGGTCCGGCTGGCGTACGCGATGACTCGTTCCGTCCCATCCTGTACCTGTGACAACACCGCGCCCAGCCCGCTGCTGCAGGCGTCGGTGTCCAAAATGAAATCGGTGGTAAAATCGGGGAAAGCGAGGGTGGGGGCGTGGGTGAGGTGATCTTTGAGAGTGGTGAAGGCCGTCTGGCAGGCCCCCGTCCACTGATAGGGGTGCTTAGGGGAGGTGAATTGGGTGAGAGGGCGTGCGATCTTGCTGAATCCCTTTACAAATCGACGATAATAGGTGGCGAGCCCCAAAAATGATCTGATCTCCGTCAGATTCCTTGGCCGTGGCCATTCCACTACGGCTGCGTACCTTCTCCGGATCGGTGCGCACGCCTGCCTCGCTGACGTGATGCCCTAGGTACCCCACCTCGCGTTGTGCGATGTAACACTTACGTGGCTTGAGCTTGAGATGAGCCGCTCGCAGACGCTTGAATACCTCTCGTAACCTGGACCAATGCTCAGACAAAAATCTACTGAACACTATCACATCGTCCAAGTAAATCAGGCACTGTTCCCATTGCAAGCCCCGCATCACCAACTCCATCAGCCGCTGGAACGTCGCGGGCGCATTGGTGAGTCCGAACGGGAGTACTCGAAACTCGAATAGCCCCATCGGGGTGGTGAATGCGGTTTTTGGTCGATCCTCCTCCGCCATCTCCACCTGCCAGTACCCGGACGCGAGATCGAGAGTGGAAAAATATCGCGCTCCGGCGAGGCTGTCAAAAGTGTCGTCGATGCGGGGTATGGGGAAGGCGTCGCCGAGCGTGACTGCGTTCTGTTTATGATAATCGACGCAGAACCGGGTTGACCCATCCTTTTTCGTTACTAGTACCACCGGGGCTGACCAGGGGCTCGCCGAGGGCTGAATTATGTTATCGCAAAGCATGTCCCCAACCGCCTCTTTGATCTGGGCGCGTTCGGGTGCGCCCACTCGGTACGCAGGGAGTTTGATGGGTCGGGCTGCACCGGTGTCAATTTGGTGCTTAACAAGGTCGGTCCGACCCACGTCCGAGTCGTGTTCGCTGAACACATCGGCATACTCCCGCAGTAACTCGCGCAGCCGATCGGCCTCTCCCTTAGGTAAATCCGCCCATGGTACATGTGTAATGCGGTTGTAAACGGCCCTTCGGAGGTGCCGTCAGGGGGGGAGGAGTTAGGTCACGTGGGGGGAGAGGGGTTGAGTATAGAAGGAGGGGAACCGGAAGAGCAAGGGGAGTGACGGGGAACCAGGAACGGAGGAAGGCCACGTAGGGCGAAGCGGGGTGTGGCGAGATCGCCACGAACACGGGGAGCAACGAGGATCGGCACCGTAGGCCAGCGGTGACCGACCCGAGGCAGCAGGAAGGGCTGCAGTCAGCAGCGGGGCTGCAGAGACCAAGAGTGGGCAGCGGGTCTGCATACAGTAGCAGCCGGAGGGTCTGCACATAAGAGTGGCAGCGGGAGTCTGCAAGGGTAGCAGCGAGTCTGCAGGGAAGAGGGGAGTAGATGAAGCAGAGAGTCGGAGGGAAGAAGAAGCTACAATAACAGTGAATAGCCGGGGGCTACAAATACAGGAGTTATAACAGAGTGCCGTGTGGGTAAAGACGAGAACCCGAATACAGACACGAAGACAGAAAGAAGTGTTCGAGTCCTTTTATTACACTGGAGTCAGAAGTGAAACGGCATGGCGAAACAACTGAGGAAAAAGAATATCCCATCTCCGGCGTCGGCTTCATCATCGGACGACGACGAGCTTCCTCCTGAGGTCGGCTTCACTTCGGCGGAGGGGGAGATCCGTGAGGGCCCGGGTGTCGAGGAAGTTGCCGCTGCGTCCGCCCCGTCTGCGCTGAAGGACGAAGATGTGAGATGGACCCGAATGGCGGAGCAGCTGGCGACTCTTAAAACCGTCATCACCGAATTGTGTGACCTTGTCACGCCAAGGGCGGCGTTGGAGGGGGATGGTGGTGATCGGCAGGAGCCCGGAGTGTCTTCGATGGCGCCGCCATCGGCCACGCGGCGTGAAGACGCCATCTTGGGCGTGGCGCACCACGGAAGGCGGGAAGCCGCCATTTTGGGGCCGCCACGAGGATCGTCCGCCATCTTGGCGACACCGCGTTGCGACGCCTTGCTGAACTTGCCGCCGGAAGAGTCGGTGACGGACGGAAGCAGGCCAAGGAGCCGCAGTCGTCACCTTACAACTGTTAAGGAGTTCTCCATCGGGGGCGATTGGAGTGCGTTCGCTTGTCGATTTTTGGCGGCGGTACGAACGGCAAGGTGGACGGACGCCGAGGCGCTGGAGGTGCTTCCGACTCTCCTTGACGATGAGTCTGTTCGTTTTTTTCGCTCTATAAAAGCTGCGAAGAAGAAAACATTGCGTGGAGTGTTCGACGAAATGGCGGACGCGTACGAGCCACCGGATGACGCCCATCGCCGCTTCGTGCAGCAGCAACGCGCACCGGAGGAGTCGCCTGTAGCGTACAGGGGCGCCGTGCTGGAACTCGCTATGGCCGCTTACCCGGAGACGGAGCCTGACCTGCTGGAACCTCTCATCTTGGGGAAGATGTTGGAGTTATCCCGGGATCTGGGCATTCCTATGCCGGCGTGCGGTCACGAGAAACTCACGTCCCGGACCGCGGCCAAGTGTTTGGACGCCCAGTTCAATCTCCGCCGCTGGAAACAAGTCACGGCGTGGACGGGCGGTCCTGTCGTCGATGGGGGGGCCGTAGGGTGGGACCCTACAAAGGCCGTGTACGTGCCGGATGCGACCGGCCCAAAGGAGCTGTCGGCCGCCTCCACTCCGTGGCCGGCTCGAAGCGGGCCGGGGCCGCGGGCTCCGCCGCCGGCGCGGCCACGTCGGGACGGGGTGCCTGCTGCGCGCCGACCCGACGTCGACTGTTTCCGCTGCGGCCGTCGGGGCCACTATGCCAGGGACTGCTGGGCCCGGGTTCCGGGGCCGCCCCAGCAGGAGGCCTCGACAGCGGACGCCCCAAAGAAAGACCCTCCGGCACAGGCAAGTCGGTGCGCACCAGACACCCGGCAAGGCCTGACACCTCACTCATCGCCGTTGTTGTGCGACGCGGATGTTCTAAAATATGGGAGGCCAGTATCTGCGCCTTGTCGCTCGATAACGCAGTGGCGTAAGTTGGCTCGGCGGGTTGTCGCGGCCGCTACAGGTTCGTCCACTGTACCGGGGTCGATCCAAGGGGTGGACGTGCGTATTTTGGTGGATTCCGGGGCGTCCGCGACCATTATTTCGGATGTCATATTCCATCTTTTGAACATCCCACCGGGGGCCGTGAGGCCGGCTTACGCTTCCTGCATCGCTGCGAACGGGGGTAGTATGGGCATCGTGGGACAGGTGGACGCTAATATTTCTATCGGGGGGGTCTCGGCCTCGGGCGTTGTGTTAATTTCGAGGTCCCTGGCGGTTCCTTGCTTGTTGGGCACGGATTTTTTGGCTAAGATGCCCATTCTAATTAGAATCAATGAAAATTGCATTGAACTACCAGGGGGCCGCAAATTGGCGTTTTTACAGTCCACCTGGGGGCGACCGGCTCCGGTTGCCCAGGTGCAGGCGTTATCGGAAGTTTCAGTTGATATTCCACCTGGCTCGCAGATGCTCATTCCCCTACGATACCGGAAGCCGGTTCCGGGTCGGCAGGGTGCTTGTGGAATTTTGCTGTCGCCGTCCGCCGCTGTTACGGGCGGATTGGCACTGGTGGGGGCGCAAACCATTGTCCGTCCGGATCAGCGCCCGTTTTTGCAGGTGTTAAATGCGAGTACTGAAAGCGTGTGTGTGCCGGCTGGTACCGTTGTGGCACACGCCACTACGGCGTTTACGGCTCAGAGTGACATTCCGGACGGGGGGCTGGTGGGTGGTGTTTCACACGACGGAGGGGTGGACGATCGTTGGATCGCCGAACTATGTGCGGAAAATTCGGCCCTTTCCGCTGAGCAGCGTTGTGCGATTCATAAATTATTAGCGAGCTATTCCGATGTGTTTAGCTCGGACGATTTGGACTTGGGACGCACCTCGCTGCTCTCTCATCACATCGAAACGGGGGACGCGGCCCCTATCCGCTTGAACTCGCGTCGGATGAGTCCGGCTGAGCGTGAGCACATTCGAGGGGCAGTGGAAGACATGTTGAAAGCGGATATTATATCTCCGTCTAATAGCCCGTGGGGCGCGCCTGTCGTGTTGGTTAAAAAGAAAGATGGTAAATTACGATTTTGTGTGGATTTTCGGAAGTTAAATAAAGTGTCGGTGGCAGATGCGTATCCCCTGCCGCGTATGGACGATTCTCTCGACGCCTTGTCAGGGGCTAAGTTTTTTTCAACGCTAGATCTCTCTTCGGGCTTCTGGCAGCTTCCCCTTGACGAGCCCTCGCGGGAAAAGACAGCGTTCCGTACGCCGCAGGGGTTGTTCCAATTTAACTGTCTGCCGATGGGGTTGAATGCAGCCCCTGCCACCTTTCAGAGATTGATGGAGTTGGTATTGACGGGGTTGCAGTGGGAGACATGTCTCATTTATTTAGATGATATTATTGTCTTCAGCCGCACATTTGATGAGCATTTATTGCGGTTGGAGGCCGTTTTTGCCAGAATGCGTTCTGCTAATTTGAAATTCAAGCCTAAGAAATGTCATCTACTGCAACGCTCCGTTCGATACTTGGGACATATTGTTAGTGCGGACGGGGTGGCCACGGATCCAGAGAAAACTGCGTGTGTCCAGGATTGGGCAACCCCCGCCACGGTGGGTGATGTGCGTCGGTTTTTGGGGTTCGCCTCATATTACCGGAGGTTTGTTCCGAATTTCGCTACTATCGCCAGGCCTTTGCATCTCCTTACTGGGAAGGGGCACAAATTTGTGTGGGGACCGCCGGAGGAGGCGGCGTTTCGGAGCCTGCGCGATCTACTGGCTACTGCGCCGACGTTGGATTATCCGGATTTTGAACATCCCTTCATTCTGGATACTGATGCGAGTGACACCGGGATTGGGGCGGTGTTGTCCCAGTCAAAAGGTGGTGTTGAGCGTGTGGTGGCGTACGGGAGTCGGGTTTTGTCTCCCGCGGAAACTCGTTACTGCGTCACTCGCAGGGAACTTTTGGCTATTGTGTATTTTCTCCGCCAATTTCGACCGTATCTGTACGGTCGGTCGTTTATTGTCCGAACGGACCATGCGGCCTTGCAGTACGCTCTTAAGATGGACCAGCCATCCGGACAATTGGCGAGATGGCTGGACACGTTGCAAGAATTCTCCTTCCAAATTCACCATCGGAAGGGTGTGCGTCACGCTAACGCGGACGCACTGTCCAGGTTGCCGCAACAATCCCCTTGTGCGTGTGCGTCGGGGACGCATAGGTGTGGACCGGCTCAGCCCCCCCCTCAGCCTGTCGCGCGGGCAGTGGATGTTCTCGAACCTCCGCTTACACCGGGACCGGTTGAAGGGGGACCGGCTGACGGGATTTTGCGTCTTCCAAGGTCTGTGTGGATTCGGGAGCAAATGTTGGACGATTCTTTGGTGTCGTTACGGAAACGAACGGAGAAGGCGGGTAAGGAAGTCGGTGCGGGTGGTAATTCGGAAACTGCTCTCCGAGATGGGTTACTGATGTGGAGGGAAGGGATACAGGAACACTGGCGTCTCGTTGTGCCTGCGTCATTGCGCTATGAGTTGATTAGATCTTTGCACTGTGACACACTTTTACACCTGGGGGTGCAGAAAACCCTATTGACGCTGCAACGAGACTATTATTGGCACGGCATGACGACGGATGTCGTCGGTCACGTTCGCGCGTGTCCCGATTGTGCCCGCCGTAAGCCGCCTAAACATCCATATGTTCCGCCGATACAATCGATTAAAGTATCTCGGGTTAATGAGTTGGTGGCGTTAGATATTTTGGGACCCTTTCCGCCATCAGCTAAAGGGAATAAGTATTTACTGGTGGGGGTGGAGTACCTCTCTCGCTGGCCGATGGCCTGGCCCTTGCCTGACCAGTCAGCGGCGTCTATCACGGACGCCTTTCTATTTGGGTATGTAATGGACAAAGGGGCTCCGGAGAGGCTCCTTACGGATCA